AACGGATGTATACCCAACTGGTTAGAAAATGGCCAGATATTTTATGAAATATTTATATTGGCTTGAAGATAGTCCCTCTAAAATCACCATGAGAAAAAGATGTATGGCAGTAAATAGAAGACGGTCTTGCTTTACAACTAAATGAGGAAGAGTATTTGGCAATATATCATAAATAGCTCTATTTTAAGGATTAAGAATTTGCCTTTGAAGCACTGTCCTTAAAATAAATTGTTTAAAGCAAAAAAACCCCCCAAAAAACAACTCAAAACAGAACAGGATGTGGTAAGTGGAAAATAATTCAGTCCTGTAGGATTTCTTTTAGAACCATAAATATTAAACTTTATTGAATTGTAACTGTAGTTAAGTATTTTAACTTTATTTATGCAGTTAAAATTTGAGGATGAGTTATTGAGCTTTTAGTATTTAGGCTGAATCCTGTTTCATGAAGATAGAAAGTATATCAGAATTGTGCTCTTGGTTATTTCAAACTCTAAATATAAGCCTGTTGTTACAGGGAGAAGAAAGGGTATGATAAATTAATTTGTTTTAATAAAAGCAAATAATAGGAGGTTTTGACTTTGCAGCATGTGACTTTGGTAGTGCGGTGGATTGACAACTGGTGGTCAACTTGTGACATGCAGCTGAACTGAAGGATTGTTGCCAGCAGCATAAAAAGGAAAACTGGAGAGGAAGAAGTGGGGCTGTTGGTTCTCCTAGAGGAGCTTGTCATGCTGACTTTCCTGATATGAACTTGGGTGTTCTCATCGTTAGAGGCGATTGGGACCTTATTGTCGATGAGAATGGCTACAGTTCACTTTGGGGGAGCTCTGGTCCTTACTTTGAGCATTGCTTCCTGGCTGTGGAGGGGAAGATGGTGCACTGTTCAGTGTCCTGGAGAAGCTTGTTGTGCTGGCTTTCCTGATACGAACTCAGCTGTTCTCGTTGTCGAAGGAGCTCAGGACCTCATTGTCGCTGAGGATGGCTGTGGTCCTTTTTGGGGGAGCTCTGGTCCTTTGAGTGTTGCTTCCTGGCTCCAATGCAGATTCCCCAGCCCAGTGGCACAGATCCTTCATCCTGCTGGCAGAGACTTTCTAGCTTCCACCGCTGACCTTTTGGTCTTCCCGGTGCAGATCCATGGAACAGACTTGTATGAGACATTGTCATGGGCTCTAGGCCTCTGGTTGGACTCGTGCGAGCATTATCATGGGCTCTAGGTTGTCAGCTGGACTCACGCAGGACATTGCTATGAGATCTAGGCCCTCAGCTGGATTTGGGTCTTTAGTGTGTGGACAGATTTCCTGACCTCTTCGAAACTTGATTCTTTGGATGACAACTACCCTATAAATTAGGTGTCCCATATTGTTCTCCTTGTAAACCATGACTACAACAAGGAGGGACTATGACAAGTATTACTGTATGTGGAAGTTATAATTATATTTGAAATTGATGGTCAGTACTAGTCACATATGCCATTTTTCTAGACATTTTATGTTTTATTATAATGTGCTTTTGGGATGCAAATTAGTGCCATTTTCATGATAGAATTTGTAGGGTTTCTGTAGGGAAATTCAGTAGGCTGACAAATCATACTGTCTTGTTTGCCATGGCTTCTTTCCATTTTCTGGCACAAAGAAAGTTTCAGCTTAATTATTTAATTTCTATTTGACCATTTTACTCTGGTGAGTTGTGCTGATCTTGGAGTATGCCGGTTTCTTGGAAGCAGGCATAATGATCTGCCTTGTGCTTCTTTCCTTTTGGTCACATACTTCATCCTGCTTGTCCTTGTTGGAGGTTTTCCCTCAATAACCAGTCACCAAATTCCTTCTATGAAGTCATTCTCAAGGAAGATAAATTCTTTTTTTGAGACAGGGTTTCGTTGTGTAGTTCAGGCTGGTCTTGAACTCATTATGTAGCCAAGGTTGACCTAGAACTCATGACAATCTTCCTGCCTCAGCTTCCCAAATGCTGGGATTATAGGCATGCACCAACCTGGCCAGTGAATTCTAAAAAGGAAAAAATGCAAAGAAAATGAGAAATCATCTCAGGTTAATAAAACTCTTGCACCTGTGTAGCACTTGTAATTGAATCCGTCTTCTCAGAAGTTCCATCCTCAGGTTGAGTAGCTTAACTGTGTCCTAGAGACATTTTTTCATTTTATCCTTTTCTTGTATAGAAGTTTCCTGCCAGATTGAGATGGAGGAAGTAGAGCTAGACAGCCATGTATGTGTTTAGATTAAAAAGGAGGGCTGGGGATTTAGCTCAGCGGCAAAAGCACCTGCCTGGCAAGCGCAAGGTCGTGAGTTAGGTTCCCGGTACCGGAGAAAAACCAAAAAAAAAAAAAAAAAAAGGAAAGCTTTTCGCAACTCCTGAGGAAAGTAGTATCTGTTGCCAGAAGTCTGGGTGGGATTTTGTGTGTGTGTGTGTGTGTGTGTGTGTGTGTGTGTGTTGATTTTTTTTTTGTTTTGTTTGATAGTTTGGATTGAACCTAGGAAAACTCTGCTGCTGAGCTCACCCCTTACCCTTTTTATTCTTTATTTTGAGGCAGGGTCTTGCTAAATTGCCTAGACTGGGCTCAGACTTGTGATCTTCCTGCCTCAGCCTTCCAAGTAGCTGGGGTTACAGGTGTGTGACATTGTTCCTAGCTAAAGAAGCTTTTTTTCTTTTTGGGTACCAGAGATTGAATTTGGGACCTTGTGCTTACCAGGCAGGCAATTGTGCTGCTGAGCTATATTCCCAGCCCCAAGAAGCTTTTTAATGATATTTTTAAAAAGTACAATTCCACCAAAACCTTTTTTTGTTGTTTGTTTTCTTAAGACAGGCTCTCAGTGTGTTGTTTAGGCTGGCCTTGAACTCACTGTGTAGTTTAGGGTGGCCTCAAACTTGCAGTGATCCTCTTGTCTCAACCTCCAAAGTGCTGAGGTTACAGGCATGCACCATCATGCCCAGCGACATAAAAAAAGGTATTATACCTTATCTTCTATAAGGTAAACTTTTATCATTGAGGATGTTTAGTATTGCATAGATATTCAAATATGAGAGTAATAATGACTATTCAACTTTCGTTTATATACTTTTTTCTTTCAGTGAGTTGTATATATATTTGATTAGAACACTGGCAAAGTTTATAACAACTATGAGGACATACGTATAATTCAGTAGACAGGAGAGGAATTTTACAATGTAGTCCTGGTTGCTCACCTAAAACAGAAACTCATTTGTAACCAACTCTTGACATTTAGCTCTTATATAGTAATTGGTGCTGTAAAGTAGTTATTGTTAGTGTTACCAAAATGCCAGGGTCATGTTCCACATGATGAAGAGTGAAACTGGGGATGGAGGAGTAGGATGCAAGCAAATTTGTTTAAGAGAGTAAAGGCAAAAAAGTAAAAGATATAAAAACAAGGAAGTAAAGCTCTCGCTAGGCAGGAGGGGGTTCTGAGTAGGATACACATGAGGGCTCTTTGTCTAGGGGCTTTTAAAGGATTTAGAAGGGAGATTGGGCTGTTGTGTAAGCAAAATAATCTCTGCCCGATAGGAGGCTACATATTTTTTAGGATCTAATCTATCTAGTGTTCATGCAGTGTCTGTGTAGGGCTCATGTCTCTTGAGCCAGTGTCCTACCTGATCATGCTCTGGGGAGGTACCAGACAGCCAAAGATGTTTTTGTAAGATCCCTGGAGGGTTGTGACTCAGCAGACTCTGTTTTGGACTTCTTGGCTCTATTTTGGGATCTAATAGAATCCTAACTCTTGTCTCACTGATTCCTGTTACAGTAGGAAATACACTATTCCTTCTGGGCATGTCATTTATATTTCTGAATAGCTCCAGCTCCTAGAAAATTCTGCCTTGAACTTCTTTCACTATTTTTACCACTTATCATACTGTCTTGGTTACTTTCCTCTCATTGCTGAGACAAAATACCCAACACCCAAAATGAAGGAAGGAAAGGTGTATTTCACTTACAGTTTATGGAGGTTTCAGTCCATACTTGACTGGCTACAAGCCAGAGTGGCACATGGCAGAGGGCAACTGTTCATGGTGGCGGAAGACAACAAAGCAATAAGCACAAAAGGGAAGAGTGGTGGCCAGCAGCCTGTCCCTTACATTGTATGCAAACTACCCGCCCCAGGGCAGGTGTGGATCATGGATCAATCATAAATCCTAGAAACCCATCCCATAACTGCATGAGGATTTAGGGGGACATGCAGACACAAAAAACCATAACACATACTTTTCTTCTTGTGGAGCTGGTTCCTCTTCTGTGAAAATACTCTTTAGTGGTTTGAGTACAATTTGATGAGGGGGTCTCATTACATCTTGTTTATGCCAAACACCCTGTTTCTGTTAGTCATGTCATAGATTTCCCTATTCTGAATATCTAGTAGACATTTTTTAATTCCTTGGCTTTTAGATGGTTCTGACTAAAATCCTAATGAAGACTATACTTTATATCTGGACTCAATAGGCATACAGATGTGTGTGTGTACATATACATATATGTATGTTAGTTTTTTTGAGACAGGGTCTCAAATGTGTAGCCCAGGTTGGCCTTGAACTTGGAAATCTTTCTGCCTCAGCCTCACAGGTGCTGGGATTCCAGGCATGTATCACCATGCCTGGACTTGTAGTCTATGTTTTTAATGTATATGTAAGTAAAACAAAAATTTTATGAGTACTTATTCTTAACTTTGCTATTTTCTGCTGTTTTTCATTTTTAAAACATGCTAATATTACCTGTGAAAGTGGTATTAGTTGCTGTGTTTTAGCCTGCAGTTTGGGAAACCCTATTCTGGCTTTTTCAGGCTAGAAACATATAGTTTGAAATAACCAATTTCCAAAACCTGGATGTTAGGATAATGGCTGCTAAACAGGTTTTACGTTATTATCTCAAGAAGAACATTCTGATGGTAATTACTAAATGAAACGTAACAGGACTGTCAAGTTCTTGGTAATAAGTGCAATGACACTAAAATATATGCTACATTTATTTTCATCCTCAGGTGGCGTCAGACAAGGTTGCAGAAAAGCTGAGTTCTACTCTCTCATGGGTGAAGAACACAGTATCGCATACAGTCAGTCAGATGGCCAGTCAGGTGGCAAGTCCATCTGCTTCATTACACACTACATCCTCCTCTACCACACTGTCGACACCAGCCCTTTCACCATCTTCCCCGCCACAGCTAAGTCCTGACGACTTAGAGCTCCTGGCTAAACTGGAGGAACAAAACAGGTGAGTGCGCTGCATGACATTTCTTTTCCTAATTATCATACAAACCCAACTATAGTGAAAATTGTAAATATATACTCATTAAGAATGTTTATTTTCCAGTTTTTGGCTCATTTACCAAACCTAAAAAAAGTACTCAAATCTTTTTGTGCAGGTGGATTAGGCTTAAAGCAGACTAAAATTTTCTTCTAGTATAGATAGCTTTAGGAGATTTATTTTCTTGTCTTATTTTTTCCTTTTTGAGACAGGGTTTTATTATGCAGTTCAGGCTGGCCTTGAACTTGCAATGATCCTCTTGCCTCAGCCTCTTGAGTGCTGGGATTACAGCTGTGCTGCAACATGTCCAGCCTGAGATTTGATTTGTTTTCTTAATAAATTTCCTCAGTCCTTCCTGAATTGTATAAAAAAAATGTTTTTTGGATGATGCTGGGGATTTAATTTAGCCCAGGACCTTATACATGTTAGCTAAGTGTTCTGATATTGAGCTACATCCCCAGCCTTACCATTTTTATTTTAAATTCTCTAAGTTAGTAAGGTATGGGGCATGTGGCAGTATTACTAACTACTTAGGCTGAGGCAGGAGGATTTCGGAGTTTCAGGCTAATCTGGGCAACACCATGAAACTCTGAAAACATATACGCATGCATATCTTTCACTACATAGTCTCTTTTGGTTTAAGTGTAAAATAATTCAACCCAATATGGATATCTGATTTGTGGATTAGAGAGGGAAATCTTTTCATAAATGTATCTATACATTTACATTTATGAAATGTATAGATACATTTAAATGTATGTAAATGTATCTATACATTTACATTTATGAAATGTATAGATACATTTAAATGTATGTAAATTTACATACATTTAAATGTATCTATACATTTA